AAAAAGCCGGAAGTGGCGCTGTGGCTCAGGTGGTAGAGAGCTAGCCTTGAGCTGAAGAGCTGAGGGACAGCGCCCAGGCCCAGAGTTCAGGCCCCACAACCGGACCCCCCCCCCAAAAAAAAAAAGAGTCTTACCATCTTTCCTGCTGATCTGTCTTAAAACTCAAATCCCAGCTTCCTCAGTAACTAGGATTATAGGCATGGGCTAACAGTGTTTGGCTATACCAGTGGATTTTAAGAAATCTGATGGAATTCCAGACTAAGAACCATCTTTTTTCCCTTTAATTACAAAAAGAATTGCTCCAATTGTGTCAACTTATATCCTTTTGCTTATAGGGTGCCCGAGAAACATTTGAGAACTATTACCGAAAACAGAGGCGAAAACAGGCTCGTTTGGTACTCCAGCCTCCATCTAACATGGTAGGATTGTAGTCTACCCTTGCTTCACATTTTATTTTTCCCTCCTTCTCTTCTTTTTGTTTTTGGGAGTAATAGTGATTAAATTAAAGGCCTTTGCCTATAATTAGAGGTGTTTGCTTCATAGCTGGCGCTCTGTCACTTGAGCTATGCCTATAACCCAGTCTGGAATCATTAGTTTTCAGTACGTATGTTTACTGACCTTCTTGGGCAAATTTTGGTGGATGTACATTGCAGTAAGAATAGCAGCTAGTATTTATTAATTGCTAAATGTCAGCCATTGTTGTAAGAACTAATTAACTGTTTAAATCTCTTATAAGATAGGTACTATTATTCTTACATTATAATGTAGGAAATTAAGTTTAGGTTAAATAAGTAACTTGCTTTAAGGTAAAAAATAATTTTCTGTGTTTCATTGTAGCATGAAACTTTAGATGGCTACAGGAAGTATTTTAATCAAATTGTAGGGTAAGTATATATAAATACATATATATTTACATTTATATGCTTTCAATACATGGACTTGTGAAACTTGGAAAAATCAGATTTTGCTTAAATTCTTTTTGTTCTTAAGATTTATTTTTATTATTTTATGATTTAAAGTAAATTACCTACTGGTTTCAACATTATATACATGGAGGATTTGTGTGTGTGTATGTGTGAGTGTGTGTGTGTGTGTGTGTGTGTGTGTCTTAAGAGAAAAGAACACTGATTTGTAATTTTACACTTGATGTTTTGTTTCTCTATTCTAGGTTATACTATGGAGCCAAATATCAAACATTGGCAAACATTTTCTAAGAGTGTCAGGGTAGTAAAATATTTTTGACTTAGGAGGCCAAACAGACTCTCAATTTTTTAGCTGTTGTAGTCTGAAAGCAGCTATATATAATAAAAAAAGTGACTACGTATGGCTGTGTCCCAAGCAAACAATCAGGCAATGGGGCAGATTTGTCCCATTGGCTCTTCTTTGCCATCTTCTCATAGAAGCTATATCTATATATATACATACATACATATATGCATAAATGCATATATACATACAGTGTGTATAGAATTAGAATTCCCACATAAACATCCAAAATGCAGGCAGCTTGTTTTAATTAAAAATGATAGCTGCAGTTATTTTTTATTAATTTTATTTTATTTTATTTGTGAACATACTGTACAGAGGGGTTACAATTACATGGGCGGGATAATGCATACATTTCTTAACAAGAATTGCAGCCTCCTCCTTTGTTTACCCTTCACATCCCTTCCCAGCCTCCCCCCTCCCCCCCAATCCCAATCCTTTTCCTTACCCCCCTTACCCCCCCCCCCCACTGACATTTTAAAGCTCATTTTAGGCATGACACTTGTACTTCTCATTGTTGCATCAGATCCACCTGTATCCTTAAACAACTGGTTTTTCCCCATCTCCTCCACAAGTTATACTGACATCAAATATAGTGAAAGCAGGGGTTATAATGTGGGGGAGGGACATACAAAGGAACAAAGAGATAATCTTATAAATGCGTTAGAAACACATGCATGAAAGAAAAAACATTAAAATACATATCTAAGGGTTCATTTTCCTGACATCACATTATCTGACCTTTTCTGCTTGACTCATACATATACTAGTTATTGCAAATAAGGGAAACCATGGGACCTATGTTTCTTTGGGCCTGGCTTACTTCACTTAATATAATTTTTTTCCAAGTCTTTCCATTTCCTAACAAATGGGGCAATGTCATTCTTTCTGATAGAGGCATAGAATTCCATTGTGTATATATACCACATAGGAATACAGGTAGGACCCATTGTAACAATGAGATGTACAAGTCGTAATGTTGAAAAATGAACTGTACAAATTTGGCTGAGCTGGGGGGTGGGGAGGTGTGAGATGGGAAGGGATGGGAAGGGGAGGAAACAAAGGAGGAGGCAACAATGCCCATGTAATTGTAACCCCTCTGTACGGTATTTTCAAAATAAAAAAATTAAAACAAAAAACAACAACTGTTTATATGTAATTCAATTTTGCAATCTCTTAAAAACTGTTGAAACAAGCAAGGTAGCAAGGATAGTATGATACAAATAGCTTTGACCCCAGAAAACTTCAGTTAGTTGTGGCTATGCTTTTGGTTTACTGTGACCTCTTAGGAGAATGACCTGATTTTTTTTTCTTTCCTGAATCTGTTGTTCTTTCTGAGGGCCCTGTTAAAATCGATAAGAACTACCTGGAAATTACCAAAGAAAAACCTTCTTAGCATTCTTTTATGGAATGTTAACTGTCACTCTGAAGTCACTGGGTATTTGGGGACAAAGGGACATTAGTGTCTTTCTATAGAAATGAAGATTCATATGTATTTATTTCTTTTGGCTATTATGATAATATGTCCATGTATAGACACAGGAAAGTATTTTCCTCACCAATCAGAAAATCTGCTTATCTCTGGGAGGAGTAGACATTGTGTTTTTTGTAAGTAACTAAAGTGAGTTCATATCTGGAATCATCTTCATAATAGGTAACACTTGTTAGGCAGTATATATTCTTCAAAGCCCACTCACAAATACAGTTTCAGTTAGTATAGTGACATTTGAAGCAGGCTTTGCATATGTTATTTTTCCCATTTTATAGAAGGCATAAAGTTCAGGGAGCTTTCCCAAGTCAGCTAACATAATAGTATACATGAGTCATAAATCTGTTTTTTTCAAAACTTATTTACATTACTATATTATATTATCTTTCATGTTTATTTAATTACTTCATCCGACAGAGTTAGTGGTTTTATGGGAAGTCCACAGTAAAATATAAATTGTTTTTGTTACAATGTATGGAAGAAAAAAATCTACTCCAATAGGTAAATTATTAATACTATGCAAAACTCAAAGAGTTGTATTTCAGGATGACATAATTCTTGTAGGACTTAAAAATTCCTGTATGCTAATGTTTGCTTATCTCCTAACTTGCCTGAGATTAGATGATATTGTTCCTTTTTCTGTTTGTATGTTCTTTGTATTGACTTTCTTCTTGTTGTTGTTCAGTAGTCATAGCTTTTTTTCTAGGGCTGTTTCTTCCCTCTCTGTAGAAAGAGCAGTTGAGTTAATGTTTGAGAGTGCATGTCCCATGCCAGACTGTTTAGCTTTCATTTCTGGCTCCTGAATAGCTTTGTCCTTGGGTGAATTACTTTGCTCTTTTCTTCTTCTTCTTCTTTTTTTGTAAAATGGAGATAATAGCATGCATTTGATAGGATTGTTCTGAAGATTAAACAAGCATCTAAGTTCTTAGGATAGTATGTGGGAAATAGTAAATAATCAATAATTATTGGTTATTATTAAGAGGTCTGGGCAGGTACAGTGTAGTTGTCAGGTCTAGTACAAAACAAATGGAGTTCTTCAATTAAAAGAAGTCAAAAGAACAGAATGTCTTATTAAGATGTAACAAATTAGTCCATGTCAGGTCAGGAATTTGATATCTCATACCGATGCTTTATTGTTGATACTATTATGTTTAATTATATAGAATGCATTTACTGTTGATTTAGCCTAGCATTGATTTCTCAGTTTTAAGATGATAAAAACATCAAATTGGATAACTTTAAGACTAACTAGTAAGTAGTTTGAAATAAGCTTTGACATGTTCACAAGAAAATTTAAATATTTTTTCCTTTCCCTCTTCATTAATGTAAAAATATCAATATCATAGAGGGGCAGACAAATGAGGACAAAGTGGGGGAGAATGCAGTTAAGAATTAAATGTATATCCTACAGAGTCGAAAAAAGTGAGTATGGGAAGGATGGGTGAGAATGTTAAAAGAGGTGATATAAATATCAATATCATGAAGAGAAAGGAAACAAAATAGTTTTAATCTCAAAATATTAAAACAATAGTTATATTTGAAGGTTTTAACAAGAATCAAAGGAAATCCTACTTTGTGAACAGTGTATTAATAGAAATGATTAAGACGTAAATTAGATAAAAAATAGTATATGTAAAGCATATCATGAATGATATATTTTAGTCTCTACTGAAATATCAGATTCTTTCAATATCCTTACTTGACTATCCTATTTCAAAATATCTTAGAAATATCATTACCATGTAGGTCTTATCCTTCTACAGTTTGTTACAGTATTAATGTTACATTACATGTTCAGATGTATATATATTACTATAATCTTCATAAAGCTTGGTAATTTGTTTACCAAGGAGGTTTCCTTGGCACATAGGAGGTGGTACTTCATTAATAAACTGATAAAAAAAAAGAGAAGATGGAAAAGAAAAATAAAGGTAGCTGAGTTCTTAAAGAAGTTCATTTTTCTATTAATACCATATTGAGCGTTTATATTTTTATTTTTATAAAATAAAAATTAGTCACCTGACAAGGTGACTAATATTTTGTGTTTATCCTTTGTTTCATTATGTTTGGATTGATGACGGGATAACCCTATCCTCTTATTTATGTCTCATAACGATTTACCTCCAGCCTTCAAATGCTAACAGCCGTTATATTTCTCATATAGTGTTAAAAACAGTTTATACTCAAGTCTGGTTAAATTAAAACTTGCACTAAACCCTGGAATTTGAAGGCAGTGGTTACTGATATCTTAGTAAGTTGGGTGGTTTAATCTCAGAGATCATATGAATAGTTGACATAGTTTTTTGTTTTGTGGCTGGGATGAGAAGAAGACAGTACTTCTTGAATTCTTAACCCAAGTAGGACGATAACAGTGCAGACTGATTTGGAATAAAGCTAAAACTTGAGGGCTTCAGAACGTTTTCTTTTTCTGGACAATTCTCATAGGACTTTATATGAGAAATAAGCAATATCTAATCTGTTGATAATTCTGTGTCCTTGAAACAATGTCATGCATCATTTAGATTGGGAATTGGGAGGTAATAATTATTAAAGCTTAAACTGTGATGAGAGTTGATACAGTGTAGTTGCTTTATTTAACCTGTAAGTTCAAAATTATCCCTCAAAGCATCTGGCTTCACATTTGTACATGCCCTTGTAAGGATTTTGGTAGCTGTCATTCAGGAGTAGAGATCCATTAGACCTTGTTAACAGACAATAGTCCCTCTGAAAATGACATGGTATCTACTGTCATCCTAAAGTGTTTTATTAGTCTGTTCTGTGCTCAGCCCTGAAACATTTCAAAAGTGACTGACAGCCAATTGATGCAATTCATGATGATCTTTTGTGTTGACAGATCTTTAAAAGCCTGGGAAATTACTACTGAATGCAGTGAAGCTACCTCCTTTTTTTTTTTTTTTAAACTGCCAGTATCCTGTAAAACAGGACAATTTTCTTTTTAACTGCCACTATTTTTTTAAAATTTCTATAACATAACATGATTTCTCCTTATTATTAGAATTTCTTTGATAGATGAAATGAGTTCCCTATAGATTATACTGCTTGTAAAATAGAAATTCTCCAGAGCTCTAAATTAGCTGTCTTGTGTGAATTCCAGATGAAGATAGCATTGCTGGTAGCCACCTTTCTACATAGAAAGAAGACCGATTTTATGCAGATGGTTTAAATATTTAAAAATGATTTTAGCACTCCATAAAGAAGGAACATTATGAAAGAAAGAGGTGATAGAATTGTTTATTTTGATGGGTACTTTTTCCTAGAGCACTATGAAATTAAATGACTGATATTTTGGGTAATTTTAACAGGAAACAGGAGTCTTATATCCACAACCCAAAGTCTCTGAATATATACTTCTGATGAATGTAAACTCGGCTGATGAGTTCTAGGAAACACTATAGAGATCTAATCCCAGTGTTGTCCTAAATTTTCATCTAAAAAATTGTTAGAACTCCATCTCTGGTTCTTTGCCTTTTCATGTTTTCCTTCAAGTCAATTGTTAGTGGAACAGGAGGTACATTTTTTTCCCTTTCTTAACCAATTACCAAAGTAATTTCTATGGCTTAACTTGTATAGTTGAGTATACATGAAGAATGAACTGCATTTTTTTGTTTTTGCTTTTGTTTGTCGGTCATGGGGCTTGAACTCTGGGCCTGGGCGCTGTCCCTCAGCTCTTCAGCTCAAGGCGAGTGCTCTACCACTTGAGCTACAGCGCCACTTCCGGTTTTCTGGTGATTTATTGGAGATAGGAGTCTCATGGTCTTCTTGCCTAGTCTGGCTTTTAACCATGATCCTCAGATCTCAGCCTCCTGAGTAGTTAAGATTACAGGCGTGAGCCACTGGCGCCTGGCTTGAACTTCATGTTTTAATCCTGTGCTAGGTATGATAGAGAAGGTAAGAATGTTCTTGATTATAGACCTCCTCATTTTATTTAGTATTCCACAACATGATACAGTGATTCTTAATTAAGTATAATTTAATTTTTTTGAGCACTGTTTCAAAATAACTTTCTGTCTAGGCTGGCTCTCAAAGCTTGATCTTCCCAATCTCCACCAATAAAATGCTGACATGGTAATTTATACCTGTCATCTCAGCTATGTGGGAACATAAACAGTAGGATGGTAGTCAAGGCTGGCCCATATATAACTTGATACCTGCCTCAAAAATTATCAGAGCAGTGGGCATCAATGGCTCATGCCTGTAATCCTAGCTACTCTGGAGGCTAAGATCTGAGGATCGCATTTCAAAGCCAGCCCAAGCAGAAATGTCTGTGAGACTCTTATCTCCAATTAACCACCAGAAAACCAGAAGTGGTGCTGTGGCTCAAGTGGTAGAACTCTCACCTTGAGATGAAGAGCTGAGGGATAGCACCCAGGCCCAGAGTTCAAGTCCCCTGACCTACAAAAAAAATTACCAAAGCAAAAAGAGTTGTGAGTGAGACTCAAGTGGTAGAGAGCCTGTCTAACAAGAATAAGGCCCTTTGCAGAATATGGATGGCCTCAAAGATAATGCTGTTTATGTGTGTGGGATCTGCAGATTGATATTGAGAAATTCATCCTGGGTAACCAATGACAGTTACTTGTTCTTGTTGTTTTCTAGCTTGTTCAGATTATTATCAACACAACACACCTGGAGAAATCCTGTAAATACTTGGAAGAATTCATCACAAATATCACTAATGTGCTTCCAGAAACAGTCCACACCACCAAGCTTTATGGCACAACTACTTTTAAGGTAAGAAGCCCCATAGGTGTAGAGATGCTTTTTGTTGGTGTGTGTTTATGGTTTGTTTCTACAAGATGACTTCTAACATGATCTTAGAAATAAGTAGTTAGAATTTTCTGTCTTCTTGGGAAACAAATACAGGTACTAGTTTTGTGTGTTTAAGCTCACAAAAATAAATCTAAAAGTTCATTTTCTATATACTTTATTTTTTACATGTGAAAGTGACCACCATTTTCTTAGAAGTACCGCGTGCTAACCGATTGCGCCACTGGAGCTGTGACCACCATTTTCTAAATTGAAGTTCAGCACAGTCAAAAGTTCTAAAGTGGTCAGATACAGTGGCTTTTGCATGACCTGGAATTTCTTTTACTTATGAGGCAGAAATTGGAAAGATCCAGTTTTGTGGCCAACTCGGACAAAAAGTTAATGTGAACCCATCTCAACCAACACTGTTAGGCTGGATATATAGGGTGGAAGATTGTGATCCTGAGCTAGATCCTAGACACCTGATCCTGAAAAAGTAAAAGTGACCGGAGCATGTCTGAAATCCTAGAGCATCTGGTTAGCAAATATGAGGCCCTGAGTTCAAATCCTAGTAGTAAAATAGTTTTAAAATATGAGTGTGATTGTTTGCTGAAGACTGATACCAGCATCACTATAATATAAACATCATGTCAGAATGTATTTGACCTTCTCTAAGAAAGTATACATATCCGCCCTCCACCAGGAAATGTCTACTGCTAGGTATATGCTCCATTGCTTAGCTCTACCCCCTTGTCCATATTTTTCTAAAACAGAAAACTAGACAAAATGTACTGCACCTAAAAATCATTTATTGGATGTATTCTAGTGCTATCCAATAGCAATGCAACTTGTAGTAACATTGAAAAGGAAAATATAATAAATGGAAGCAAAAAAGGCTGACACTAATTTTAACAGAAATTACTTTTAATAATATCTTCCTCTCTATGTTCAACATTTTAAATCTTAACTTTAGTGAGGAATCTTTTACTATTATAGTTAGTGATTTTTATAATCATCTTATCATAGCACTAGTTTTTTTTTTTGGGGGGGGGTCCAGTCGTGGGGCCTGAACTCTGGGCCTGGGTGCTGTCCCTCAGCTCTTCAGCTCAAGGCTAGCACTCTACCACTTGAGCCACAGCACCACTTCCGGCTTTTTTCTTATGTGGTGCTGAGGAATTGAACCCAGGGCCTTGAGCATGTAAAGCAAGTGCTCTACCACTGAGCCACCTTCCCAGCCCCCATAGCACTAGTTTTGACTTAGTGTTAGATCAAATTGTAACCTGACTTTTCTAGAGCAAAAAAAAAAAAAAAAGTAGTTGACATTCTGGAGAAGAAATCCCTTAATAAGGAGTCTTAATAAATTTCTTTACATTGCTCTGTGAACTTTAGACATTAAACAGAAGTAGTAGTTACATCTTAAACATTAAATGGAAAATTATAACATAAAGACTAACCTACATTTTTGTTATTGTTGTTATTTGATTGTTTTACCTGAAACTTATTCTGTGTTACTCTAGTGAAATCCAACAACTGATGTTAATTAGATACACAGAGATAGAGTAGAAGCTCTGCTTATGTTCTCTAATGTCTACTTTTTTATCCTTTCTCCTCCGAATTTGTTGGTGTTATCTCTTGAGAGCAACATTGAAAAAGAAATCATTTTGCTGTTAGAATCTAAGATTCATATTGATGTTAGAATCTATCAGACAAAAATATTGGAAATACTACTTCCTGTGAAAAAACTGCAATGTTGGTTAAACTACAAAATATTGTTTATGTAGTTCTGTGATTAGTTTAAGTGCTAGACTGAGTTACATGTTTATTAGATGACCAGTGATTTCAAATTAGCAATAAACTTACTTAAAACAAATTCATTATATATTATTTTAGGCTAATGTTTTTCCTTTCAAATTTAGTGGTATCTTAATTATAGCTAATCCCTGGTATCCAGAGAAATTGGGTCCAGGAACCCTAGTAGATGTTAAATTTTGCAGATATAGAAATTTCATATATAAAATAGTACTAGTATTTGTATTTAACTTACATTAAACAATGTCCATAGTACTTTTAACAGTTTATTGAATACAAATACTATTGTAATGGAACTATATGATTTAGAGAGTAATGACAAGGAAAAAATTGTGTACACATTCAATAGAAAGATTTTTTAACTGAATATTTAAAAAAAATGTGGTTGAGTCCTAGGATGCCACGCCTGCAGATATAGAGGTCCAACAATAATATTAATATTAATGGTAAAGCTCTTTTAATGAGGAAAATTAGGGCCTTTAAAAATAAGCCCAAATTTGCCAGGTGCCAGTGGCTAGCATCTGTAATCCTAGCTACTCAGGAGGCTGAGATCTGAGGATTGCAGTTCAAAGCCAGCCCAAGCAGGAAAGTCTGTGAGACTGTTATCTCCAATAAACCACCAGAAAACCAGAAGTGTCACTGTGGCTTAAGTGGTAGAGTGCTTGCCTTGAGCTGAAGAGCTGAGGGACAGCACCCAGGCCCAGAGTTCAAGCCCCATGACCGACAAAAAAAAAAGGCCCAAATTTAATTATTATAAATTAGTATGCCTATGTGATGAGATGTTTAAGACTTAAAGTGAATGTAGACATTTTAGTAAGAATAATTACTAATATTAACTATTACTCAATTATTAGTATTACTACAGAATGTGGATATCAGCTTCACTAAAAATATTTTTATTTTCTCTACTCTGGAAACAAAAACTTCTCCACAAAGAATATGTGTAAGGAACTATTATTTCAGTGTTAAGCAGAGAATAGAGATTTCTGAAATTAGAGTGTGAGTTTCATTTATACCTATTTTTCATATAGGTATAGGGTCATACCTACTGATGGTATTTCCCTAACCTGTCTCAATTGTGTTTTAAATTTTAATGAGTTTTAATATAATAGCGAGAAATTCTACCAATGTATACTTGTTTATTTTGTTATTGCTCCAGCATTTCAAATGCGGGAGAAAATCAGGTGCAAACAGGAAACCATAGGAGTTGTGCAGCTAGTTAAATACTTAGTAATGGAGAAATTCTGGAGACCCCTACAGGTCATATTGAGGGTGCTTATTGGAAACACAGATTGCCTCAAACATACTGAAATATTTATTTTTACCAGTGTTCTTTCAGATGAGCTAACCATGAACTCAAGATAAATATAGCAATTATAACTGCTACATATTGTGTATTTTCTTAAGCTACTGTTTCCAGAAAACCTGCCCTTGCAGATGGAAACCTTTATGATGGAGAGGAGAACAAATTCAGGATATTTTCTTTCAGGTTTCCCTTTTGTTTCAGCCATATCTGACATAATGATGCTGGTATTATTAGCTTTCCTTTTTCAAGGAAATGCTTTACTTAAACAAAAGAGAATGAACATTTTATTAACTTAATTATAAATATCACAAAATTTATTGCATATGTACAATGTGGCAATTGGTAGATTTTTGGAAAAGAGAGAAAATTCCTTACTTCTTGGCCTTTAGAGTTTATGATCTACAGAGAAGATACACACTGTGACTTCCATAAGGAATTATGCAAGCTAGGTGCTAGTGATTCAGGCTGAGATCTGAAAATCTCAATTCTAAACCAGCCCTGGCAGGAGAGTCCACGAGACATTTATTTTCAGTTAATCACCCAAAAGCCAAAAGTGGAACTGTAGCTTAAGTTGTAGATAGAGTGCCAGCCTTGAGCAACAAAGTTAAGAGACAGTATCCTGGCCTTGAGCTCAAGCTCCAGTATTGGCACAAAGAAAAAGAACTATGTGAACGTGCTATAATAATACATTAAATGACTGCAAGCTCTTAATCAATTCAACAACGTTTTATTAAATATCTGCTACACACCAAGCAATATTATAAAATGAAGAAAATAAATCCGTTTATTGACTTTACCATGCTCCTGTTGAACTGAATTGATAGATGATAAAGAGATATATCAGGTAGTGGTAAATACTGGAGAGAGAATAAACCAAATTATATGACATATTGAACCATTTGGAATTCTGGTAGATGTTCATTCCAGTCAAAGGGAAAGGTACAGCAGGAGGTGTATCAATGATGTGTCATTCACCTGTGGAAGTGTAATGAGATGAAGTAATAAGTCAGATGATTTGTCATCTTCTAGCATATAGAGAATACTTTAAATATTATTCTTGAAATAGATTTTAAGTCATTAGAAGATTGGGAGGTTGTAATCTAATTCATTTTTCATGGGCAATTGTCATGGTTGTCATGTAGAAAATAAATAAACTTTAAATGAGTAAAATGGAAGAAGAGAATTCAATTTGGACACTGTTGAAGTACATCAGGTAGGAGCTAGTAGTCATTTGGATTAGAGTAGTAGAATTACAAGTGGTATGAAATATTTTTGGAGTTAGCATTCTGGGGTACATGGATATTTTAAGAGAAAGAAGTCAAGGATTATTTTTTTTAACTGAGAAAATTGGGTGAATGGTTGTGCTATTTGCTGCGATGAGGAACAGCTGTTCTTCAAGAGAGTGGTTGCTTTGGGTAATGAAGGTAGAATCAGGACTCATTTTCACTTACTACGCTAGAATTTGAAATAAAAAAATTACCATTTATATTAACACCCAAAGTAAAGGTAAAATGCCCTAAATATGACTCTTAACAAAATTCCTGCAGGAATTTTCTGAGGAAAATCACAAAACTCTGGTGAACAAAATCAGAAGAAAATAAATGGAATTATTTTTCATGTTTATAAATAGGAGGAGTTAATGTTTACAAGTCTCAGTTTCTCCCAACTTGATGTCTGAATTTACTCATTCTCATTGAAAATCTCTTCAAATTATTTTGTATATGTAATAGCAAAACACTCAAAAGTAGCTAGATACCAAGAACATGTTGGGGGGCTCACACTATTTGAGGTATAAATATAGTATAAATGAAGCTACAGAAACGAGGTATTGTGGTGTTGACAAGAGAATAGATAGATGAGTGATACGGAT